GGGCGCCGAGGCCCCGGAGCAGCAGGGCCGCCGGGGTCAGAGGCGTGGCCTGACTTTGTGACGTCATGGGCTGGACCCTATTACGTCACGAGACGCTCCCTCCGGCCGCTCCTACTTACCGTGCGCAGGGCGTGGGTTCTGGGACCAGGGAACGCTTCCGCCTTGCGAATTTACCGATTCTCCCTAAATTCATTTACTCGACACCTACCTACTATGTACTAGGCGCTGTTTGAGGACCTCTCACCCATAGTTGGGAGAAACAGGGTCTGTCCTTGTGGTTCTGAAATTTATCAATCCCGCAGGTGTTTACTGAGCCCGCACTGTGTGCCTGGCCTTGCTGAGGGAACAGCCGGTGTCGCGGGCACCTGATCGCGAGTGTCAGGAGTGTGTCTGCTACGTGGGGCGCTGGGGACCAGGGCGCCAGGCCTTGCACTTGGGGTTCAGTCTAGCCGGGATGGGGGGGTGGAGGAATGGTGAACCCCACAAACAGGAAGTGAAATCTTTTTTTTTTTTCTTTCTTTGTACCGGGTATCGAACTCGGGCCCTTGCACTTTCGAGGCAGGCGGCACAACCGCTGAGCCAAATCCCTGGCAGGAAGTGAAATCTTGACAGAGCTCTCCAGGGCCGGAAGCCCGCTGCAGAGGGCCGCGGGGTTGTTCGTTTTGTTTTGCTTTTGTCTGCGGAGACCTCAAGGTCTCCAGTGTGCTGGGCAAGTGCACTCCCGCTGAGCTACACCCCAAGCCCCGCCTTTTTCGTTTTTGTCTCCTTGGTACTGAGGATGGATTCCAGAGCCTTCTCGCTGAGCTCCATCCCAGCCTTAATTTCTTTTTTTTTTTTTTTAATTTTGAGACAGGTTCTTGCTAAGTTACCCAGGTAGGACTCGAACGTGCGATCCTCTTACCTCAGGTAGCTGGGCTCACAGCTGTGTGCCAGCGTACCCACAGCCCTACTGCAGTTTGGCCCTCGCTGGCCTGGCATGCAGAGGAGTCCTAACATAGTTGAATTGCTTGACTCGGGAGTCAAGGGCGGACAGCCCCTCAGGGCGTAATGGGGCCCTGGCGCCACAAGGGGCGCTCACACCCGAGGCCAAGTCTCTCCTTTCCCCGTCCTGGGACAGGGCCTGGGCCTTGGTGGCCAACACCTGCTCTCCCCGATCACCCAGTAGCGAGGGTGTGGCTGCTCGGTCACCCCTGCTGCTCTTACAGAGTTTGAGCTGGGGAGCACAACTTGAGAGGAGAGCCTGGGATGCTGACTTAGCATGTCCTTGCCCTGTGCCCGCTCTGAGCCCTGAGGCCCTGAGGCCCTAAAAAGGAGCTGTACCAATGTCATGGGGAGCAGGGCCCATGGATCCTCACGCTCAGGCCCAGATGCAAGGTGGGAAGGTGGAGTCAGCACTCTGGGCAGGTTCGGTTTCTCTGCGCTGCAGGGCAGGGCAGTGAAATGCAGCTGGGTGAAATATGGTCCGATTTCACACCCAGCAGGGCTGCCCTTCAGGAAAAGCAGCGCAAGACGCTACCACACTTGCCAGCAGGCTGGGAGATGCCGTGGCCTTGTCCATGACAAGTAGCCTGCACAGAGAGGGCACGTGCCCAGGGGTGTCGAGGCAGCAATGGAGCGGACAGGCTACATGGTCCACCCAGTGACGGGACAGATCTGAGGGAAACAGCGCAGAACCAGAGTGAGACCCTTAGTGCAAAACCATCCATGGCCAGGCATGGTGGCAGAGACCCGAGATTCCAGCACCCAGGAGGCTGAGGCAGGAGGATTGCTGTGAGTTCAAGGCCAGCCTGGACTACACAGCCAGACCCTGTCTCAAAAAAAAACAGAAACAGGACAGGGGATTCAGCCTAGTGGTGCTGCCGCTTACCTTCCAAGTGCAAGGTCCTGAGTTCGATCCCCAATACCAAAAAAAACCCCAAAAACCAAAAATCAAAAAACCCTGAAACAAACAGAGCTGGTATAAGTATTTTAAAACTACCCAACCTTGCCTGGTGGGGGAGCGATAGTGTAATTGGTCACCATCAGGGGACAGCCCCTTGCTGTCCAGCCAAATCTGGTCCCGTGTGAGTTCGCACACAGTGTCTCACACTGTCCTGGGCGTGTGTGCGTTCGCACAGGCAGCTGCTCCTGCAGCCACGCGGACCACCGTTCCTGACCCTCACCCAGGGCCTCCTGTGTCGGTTGCTGCCCCGGCACTTTACCCACAGCCACGGCTGGATGACACAGGGGACTTCCCCAGGGTTACCAAGGAAACCGAGGCCCAGAGAGGTTAAGTACCTTGTCTCGGGTGGCACTACTGGTTCGTCCAAGAGCTGGGATTTGACTCCAAGCCACCCGGCTCCAGGATCCCTGCCTTGGGCCATTACCTGATCTTACGAAGGAAAGAGGCTCTGTTTTATGGACACTTGAGTTTCTTTCTGTTGTTGGTTTGTTCACTTGTTTCTTTTTTGAGACAGGGTCTCGCTGTGCAGTCCAGGCTGGCCTTGACCTCGGTGATCCTCCTGCCTCAGCCTCCCTAGTGCTGGGACTACAGGCGTGTGGCACCACACCCAGTCTGAGTTTCTGACTGTAAAAAGGTGCTTGCTGCTGTAACATTTCTATTTCTGGAGGGTTTCCTGGGCCCCGTGGACCTTGTAAAGCAATTCACGGGAATATGTTTATTGCCTTACTGCCCTGAACCCAGTGCTACTTTGAAATATTGGAACCCCCGACCCGACTGAGGCCTAGAGAGTCCCTGGATCACAGATCCGGAGAAAGGCAGCTGTGGGGTCACCAAAGAGCCCTGCTGATGACACCCTGGGGACTGGGCGTTGATGTGAGGGGTGGGAAGGGAGGTGAAGGCAGGAGGACTTGGTGAGCAGCCCAGCGGAGCAGCGTTTCCCACCTCTCTGCCGTGCTGTGGCTTTGAGTCCCAGCCGGAAGCAGCCCCAAGGCCCCCAGATCCAGGGCCTCGCACTAGACAGCGGCCGGCAGCTCGGCCCCCCAGACCCGCACCTGGTTGCCTGTCCCTTGTCACTGCCTGCTTAGACCCTGGAAGATGGGGCTGGGACTGCCCGGGTCCCACCTGATGACTGCGCCATCCCCACCTGGGTGCCTGGCTGTCCCAGTGGAGCTCGGCCGCCCCAGTGCCCGCAGACTCTGCCCATGCCGTGTCCATCTTTTGGACCCTCTGGGTTTCCGTCTTCTCTTTGTCCCTGTCCCTTTTCCCTGATTCACTACCTTCTCCTGTCTTTGTGTGGGAGC